TACCACTGAGCCCCAGCTCCAGCCCAGAACTTCTCTATTTTGATGCTGGCTATATAAAATAGAAGCAGGGCACTTTGTTTAGGGCACAAAGTAGGAGTTCAATAAAATTTTGATGAATTAATGGCCACATGATAACAACTCTTCCTCAGTTTATTTAATATATTAGTATGTTCCAGACATTGGGTTAAAGATTTTATGTATATTAGCTAATTTGATTCTTAAATCCATATCTCTATTTCCTATATAAGTATAATAAAGAAACTGAGGCTTATTAGGGTGAAATCACTTGCTTCTTGTTAGAAGCTGGTGCTAGTGGAGTCAGGACTGAACCCTGGGGTTTGTGAAGTCTGTATCCTTTGGCATTTAAAAAAAATTCTTTATGGGAATTGAACCCAGGTCTCAGATGTGCTATGCAAGTGCTGTACCACTAAACTATACCTCCAGCCCTTTTATAAAAATGTAAGCTAAAACATTAAGTACAGGAGGGGTCCCCCACTCTCTTTTGATATAGTCTTTATTACTGAAGTGTACATTTCAAAAATTCATTAGTGACAGCAGTTTTTAGAAGCATCTTATACTAATGAACTAAGTGGTAAAACTGGATTAGTTTAGAGAACTACAAATGTAACTTAAATGTGATCTTATCATTTTCTGTTTTAATATCATGAGAAGGAAGTAGAGGAGACAACTTTGCATTATTAGAATTATATTTGGAAGCCCAACCATTAGGCAAAGTAAACTACATTAATTTCTTAGCTTTCTGATTAATCTAGAAAAAAGCAGGTTGATGGTCTGTGTGAGGTTAACCATATGAGTAGTTTTTCCTTTTCTAGTAAGTTATTGTTTGTTCTTCCCTCATGCTCAACCCAGATACCAAAAATCTAATTTTCTAATGACATTATATATCTCTGGCAGCTGGTTTCAATAGAGAATTCTAGGTCCAGTAAGGTCAGCAGCAAATGACTTTAGAAGAAACAAGAATCTGGTGTATTTTTTTTTTCTAAGTAAGAGATGTGAAAATGATTTTTTAAAGTTTTATGATAGAAGTTAGAACAACATTCAGAATTTCTCTGGATTTTCTGTGTCTCAAACATGAAGCACTTACACTGAGCCCAGTGTTTTGTGCAGTTCTGGAGGGGGCTGCAGAGAGCACAGCTGACACGGCCCCTGCCAGTTCTCCCTGCCAGGGTCAACTCTAGGAGGATCACTTCTTGCCCAACTTCTCTTTCCACTTCCCTGGATCCTTGTTCTTCCCCTCTGTTCTGTCTGCCTAGTCTCTTCTCTCGGATTCTTCCCAGCCTTAGAATTCCAGAGAGAAACGGATAGGAAAGATCTCCTTAGTGCTCAAGGTCCTGTTCTGATTGTGGGCTAACCGTGAGGATTTGGAGCTTATGCAGATATTCTTTGTTTTCTGAAAGACAAAGAATACACAAGTGAAAGGGTTTTTTCAGGGCACTGAAAAAAATTAGATCCATTTCTGGTGCCTCACCTGAAAAATTCAGGAAAACTCACTAATAATCTACTATTTAATGCTGATTTTTAAGATAATGCCATTTAGAAGGAATTTTCACCTTTTTGAGTAATGTTAGAACAACTTGTAACATTGCTTGATGTTGTAAATCCTATAAAAAAAATCTTGTAAAATATAGAGATGGCATTGCCTGCACCCATTCTTAATGAGATTCAATTATAATGGGACTATTTCCATCTTTTCACTCCTACCCAAAGCCTGTTTCTTCCTTTTGCCATTCCCCAAAAGCTTTCCGCCTGCTGTTTGGTTATTGCTGCCATCTAACGTCTCAAAATAAAATTGCAGTGGGTTTGCCTTTTCCCGAAAGATTCACACTATTCTGCAGTTTATGGAAATTACTGTTTGAGAGTGTAGGGAAGTTCTAGCTTTCTCTCTGAAGGTTTAGTACACAAGTGAAAGGGTTTTTCAGGTAACTGAAAAAAATTAAAGTTGAAATTGCGTCTGCTGAAATAAACGGACAATAATAGATTAGCAGGAGAAAAGGCACACAAATTCATTAATATGCACACGTGCATGGGCCCCACACAAAATATAAAATTCAAAGAAGAGCCAGATAGTTGAAGCTTAAATACCCTCTTTATAGGGGAGGGAAAAGGGGAATGTAGGCAACTTTAGAGGGGTAGGAGATGATTTTTAGGGGAGATGAATAGGCCCAGAGAACAGACAATGCCCGAGACAAAGTTGCTCTAGCCTCTAGGTGTGGAGTTTGGTTTTTAGCCTCCTCCTCTGTGATGAGTTTAATCTTCCTTGGTTAATGAAATTTCAATAAGAAGATTGAAGGCAATTGTGTTCTTCTTTGGTGGATCTGGTTTAAGTAGATAAGAGAACTTCAGAAAAAAGCTTCACCCAGAATCTGCTGATTCCCAATTGCCTCTGATTTAAAATTATCAGCACACCAAGGCACCATATTTTGGGGGATCATTTTCTGAACACCAATAAAAGCAACAGCTGTTTCTTCCTAAACTCTTGAATAATAGCACTCCAAAGTGATGGCTTTTTGTGGAAAGATGATAGGTAGCATGCACCCCACAGTTAAAGATCAATCAGTAAAGCAAGAAGGAAGTTAAGTGACCTCATGCCTAGTACAGGATAAATTGCCATTGTGACCTTCGTGTACATTTCCTCTCATAGAATTGGACTTGATGCTCTGAAAGGCCTATTCTAGCTTTAACTTTTTAAAAAAATATCTGTATGTACATTAATAAAGGCATAGTTCTTGTATATGGTACTATTTATTTCTTCAGGCTAAAGTTTTCAGTGTTGAGCATGTTTTCTTATAGAGAGCTAAGTTAAATAGATGTTCCTGTTTATATTGTGTGAATAGATAGCATTGATAGATTCCCTCTGTTCAATCAGCAGAGGCAGATCTGAAGACTATCTATTGTTAGTGCAGCCTGAACCACAGCAATACTTATTGCTTGCCTAGCTATTCATGAACTTCCTGAAGTTCCTGTGCCACTTGCAAAGCTCCCACAATTAAAAAACAAAAGCAAAAATTCTGACCACATCTGGATTTTAAAAGATTTATAAGTATACTGTTCAATTTTTTTTTTTTAGCATTTTGAAATGTAGCATTAATACTTCCATAGGCTAGGAAGAAATCTGATATAGAAGTCTTTCTAGATATGGTAGAGTGAAGGGAAATGGAATTTGCCCTACATGATAGATTTAAAAAAAAATACTGAAGAACATTACCACCTGGAAAAACCTTCCTTGAGGATTCTGTTATCTTAAACTGACTTTGTAAAGAATATTTTGTTTATGTGTAGCATTTTAATAGGTATTTTGGTTTATCTTGGTCACATTTTAAATAAATTATTCATCCTTTATAATTCCATTGTGGTTAGGGCAAAGTCAAATGAACATAATACCTTACCTTCAACTAGCTTTGACTTAATTGTTAACAGATATTTTATAGAATTGATCCCTGGGACCACCATTGGAGGGAGAACCTATTGAATAAACTAAAAATGAATTTGGACCTGCTGTTACGTTTAGATACTAACCATACTCAAATGGGCATAGATCTAATTAAAAACAGTTTGTTTTGCCATTAACCTTTCTTACATATTTCAGACAGGTTTCAGTGGTCTTGTTCAAACCATCCTGACCAAATTTTGCAAGTAAAATCTGGAGACTCACAGTGCCTCAAGAGCCTGGCTTAGCTTTAACACAGAACCCTTACTGCTTTAACTGCTGTGAACTTCATTGTGTAACTATGAGAACACATTTTTAAAAAGTGAAAAATTTTAAAAGGGAGACAATAATAGGAACTACTTAATAGAATTATTTTGATATCTATTAAATGTAGATAGGTAGGTAGATAATCCATTTCACGAGTTACTTAGTTGATACGAATGTAGAAATAGTGTATTTATTTTTTTCTTTGTTTTGGGTGGGAGTGGTACCAGGGTTGAACCCAGGGGTATTTAACCACTGAGCCACATCTCTAGTTCTTATTATTTTTTATTTTGAGAAGTTGCTTAGGGCCTCGATAAGTTGCTGAGACTGGCTTTGAACTTTTTATCCTCCTACATCAGCCTCCCAGCCACTGGGATTACAGGCATGTGCCACCATGCCCAGGAGTTTATTTATTTTTTAATTCCTGTATTTATTCCTTTTTTGGGATTGTCTTTGCCTTTCCAGAGTTAGAGAAAACCAGGATAGCTAAGCATTCAAATCATGGGCCTAATTACATGTGCTTGTTCAGATCATGTCAGTAGTTTTAGAGCCTCAAACTTAAGCTTGGTGACTGGGGAGTTGTGAAGCAAGGAAGACTGAGACATGACTTCAGCCTTTGATGGGTGGTTTATCAGAGGTATTCAGTCTCACCTATTTTCCTGGCTGCACATAGAATCCTTCCCTCAATTCCCAGATGAAGTCAGGCTCTGCTGGAACAGGCTCCCGTAGCACTCTGCACTTTGTCATGAAATAATTGTTTGTGTTGGTTGAGCGCCTTTCTATTCCTACTAGATTGTGTACTCCATCACATGAGAAGCAGTTTCTTTCTACTTTTCCCAGTGTCTAGCACATGTCTTGCCCAAAAGTATATGGCAAATATTTGTGGCATATACACAAGCTCTTAAGAGTGAACAAAACAAGATGCATATCATATGTGGCTTATTCTGCACTATGAAAATTGAAGATGTAGAGAAGAGTTTAGCAATATCTACAAATAACTGCAGAGGGAGAGTACATATCTCTCCAGGGGCTGTAGAAAGTAAGAGGTGAGTAGAAGTCCTTTTGACAAGGGTTAGATGCTAACTAAGTGCAGAATAAACGAAAGAAGAGACATTTGAACTGGACTTTTCAAGGGTATAAAATTTGAATAGAAAAGTGTGGGAAAGGTTACCCCAAACATAAGCAGTATTTTATGTAATTGTATCATTTCACTCTTGATAGCTTTAATCTCATTGTTTTCAATAAATCTGTAAAATGTATATTAGCTAACAATTTTGTCTTATTTCAGTGAACAATGTGGGAATCTCATATGAGTATCCTGAATACTTTTTGGAAATTCCTGACTTGGACAATGTGAGTCTTTTTTTTTTTTGTCTGCTATGGTAACAAAAAGAATGCATGCAGGTCTTGGGGTAAGATAGTATTGTATAATGATTCAGTCTGTGAGCACTGGAGTCCAGCTGCCTGAGGTTCACACTTAACTCCTCTGTTTACTACTTGAATTCTCTGGGGAAGAACCTAACTTAGTTTCCTCACCAATAAAATAGGCGGCTTCATAGGAATGTTAAAAAGATTGAATAAGAAAATGTTTATGAACTCATTTATACAGTGTCAATATCAATAATAGTTCTAGTTTTATTTTTTTATTATATCAGGACAACTCTATTTTAAGTATTAGGATTCTAAACATCAATTTAAAAATCAAATATGTTAATATCTATCAGCATTTTTGATTCAGGTAAACCAACTCTACCAGAAGGAACCTGCATCCTTGATATGCACATAATCCTTTAATGAAAACAAGGAATATATATCATTGAAGGGTTATGTAAAATTTTTTAAACCGTTGAAAATCTTAGACTCAATAATTTCTACTCTCCATATCAGGAGAGAGGAAATTGCAAAGTGTTCTATTTATATTGGATTTAATTGTTTACCTTGTCTTTTGCATATTAGCATGAATTGCTGCTTTTGTTAGAAAAATACTGTAACACTAAGAGTAAGATAAACTCTGCCTCTCCACCCCAACTCCTATAATTTTTTCAAGGTCTTTGCAATATCTCATGAAACTTCCAATGTATCACAATATTACTTGAGTATATATCTAATATGACAAATCTATATAAAATTAACTGTATTTTTTTTTCAGGCCATTAAGAAACTGATAAATGTTAATATTCTTTCTGTTTGTAAGGTAAGTAGCTTTGTTAGAAATATGTCACCTTTTTGGTTCTTTCTATTAAAAATTGTGATTTGTGTTCAGATGATTTCACTCCAGTCACTTAGTGGTAAGCATGTGTTCCATTTGAAAGGTGTGTGTTTACTTATGTTCTCAGGAAGTAGAAAGAACTGAACACCAAACAAGCATCTGTGTTATTCACTTTCTAATAACCTAACAGTTTAAGTGTCTTCTACATGCAAACCCTATAGTATGTCCTGAGACTACAAAAACAAACTTAAGCTGTAGATTGATTGACTTCATCCACCTGCTATTCATCACTGATAAATTTTTTTCATTTTGTCTCCCCTGCGATCCATTTAAATTGATAGCTTAAATGTCATGGCACAGCATTATATGGAGAATATTGGACCATAAAGTAATGAGAGTGATGTTTGTAGAAACCTAATAGCCAAGCCTAGCTGTGAAGTGCTAAGCATGTATTATAGCCGTGTCCCTTGGATATGCCAACAAAAGACAGCATAGCTGATACCTCTAAAAGGAACAGTAGCTAACAAATAGAAATATCTCAGCACTTATTTTGTTGTTAGCAGTAACTAAACCAAAAAAAAAAAAAATGACCATACTTTGGTTTTATATACCAGACCAGTGAAATTCTGCCTGAGGCATAATTCCCATGAGCAATATCAGATAATATATATGTACACGTTAGTTTATATATATACTATATATGCAGAAGTATATATGTACTATATATGTGAATATATAGCATATATAACATGGTGATAACATGCTTATACACACTAATATATACTATATTATACACACACACTAGTTGAAGGAAATAAAAAAGGTTTCATTCAGAACTCTTAATTGATCAGATAAATATAAATAAGAACTGGTTGTTAATTTTTACTTTATGGCATAGGCTTGGTATTTATTGTGAATGTTTAAAAGAAAAATTCTTTTCTTCATGTGTCCTCATGTCCTAAGAGAAAGTATAACTTTTACATGTTTGATTTCAAGTCCAAGAACCCAGGAATGTCATGCCTTGCCCAACTTTCCATGTATGGTTATCCTTCTCCCTGTAGAACGTATGTGTTGTTTGAAAGTGTTAACTAGGTTTTTTAAGGCAAAGAATGTTTGGTAGCTTGCTACTTAAAGACACCTCAAATGAATTATATTGTAAAATGACAAATAATTTTGCAAAACAAATAGTTATTCCCATTGTATCTTCTCTCTTACTGTTATTAGCCAGGCTTTTTTTCTCACCTGAGATTTGGTTTAAGTGAGGTAAATCAGTAACAAGTAGATCTGAGTAGATGTGGAGCAAGACCCACATGCATAACATTGATGCTTTAAAAATGCATCAATTTAAAATGAACTTATCTGTTTGGTTTGAAAGACATCTCCCTTATATTGTGTAAGTGTAATCATTCTTTAATAGTCTGTATGTGGTTTCAAGATAATTAAATAACTACCGTTTACTATTTATATCTGACCTTTGACATTTTACTTAACCTCTGTGCTTCAGTTTTTGTCTGTAAATTGAGGATAATAATTCTCTTCACCTCATAGAATTGTGAGAATTAGGGCTGAGGATGTGGCTCAAGCGGTAGCGCGCTCGCCTGGCATGCGTGCGGCCCGGGTTCGATCCTCAGCACCACATACCAACAAAGATGTTGTGTCCGCCGAGAACTAAAAAAAAATAAATATTAAAAAATTATCTCTCTCTCTCTCCTCTCTCACTCTCTCTTAAAAAAAAAAAAAAAGAATTGTGAGAATTAAATAACGTAAAGTGTATAAAACTGTTAGAAGAGTGCCTAGACTATACAGTAAGTGATCTAAAAATGTGATTGTTGTTATTGTAAAATGTGATTGTTGTTACACTCAGAGCTGATAAAGGTTTTTTAGTAAATATGTATAATCATGATTTTATATTTTTAAGAAAGCAAAGTTTTTGGGGGGCTGGAGTTGTGGCTCAGTGGTAAAGCACTTGCCTCACATGTGTGAGGCCCTGGGTTCGATCCTCAGCACCACATAAATAAATAAAACAAAAGATCCATTTACAACTAAAAAATATATTTAAAAAAAAGAAAGCAAAAAAGTTTTTTGATCAAAATTAATATCACTTCTAGTCTGTAATTCTGTTCTTTGTTATTTTGCCTTTTGAAATGACTGATGTGTACTGTTACTTTCATATATCTTTTCTGGTACATTTGGCCGAGTGTTTGAAAATAATGAGTGTTAAAACAATGCACACATGTTTCATAATATATTGTACTGAGTTAATGAGAAAATGTGTTCAAGTGTTTAAATTTTATTTGCCAGAATTGTTAATACTAGCTGCAAATTTATTCTCTGATAATTGTAACTCCTCTGTCAGATAAACTATGTAGGATTCTTACTGCAGATCCCGTAAGCCTTTGGGTGCTTGTGAAGTCAGCCTTACGGTGTAAAACCCTGGCCTCCTCTGTCTCCTAGAACATGCATTTTTGGCTGGCAGTCTACAGAATACTAATGATAAAAGGCCAAGGTTAGGCCCTTAATCTGGGAGGACTAGTGAGCTTGCTCTGCACCACAGGCACAGCCTGTGCCCTCATGCAGCATCTGAACCCAGATCAGCACGTGCAGCAGCGACCACATGGTGCTGGGGGCAGGGGGTGGCAGTGGCAGTGACATTGTGGGTAAAACAGCACAAACCCAACAGCACTGTGAAGTAACTTCATTCTTCCTCTTCCCTTCTCTTTTTTTCCCGTTGTGATGTACACTTGTTCTCATGAAATGAGGTAGTGAAGACAGATTCTAGTTTCTTAATCACTCGTGGGCCATATTGATGGGAGCCAGGAACAGCCGACGAATGGATATATGCTTAAAATTTTTGTATGCAAGCCTTTATTGAAAACTAAATCCCATTTTAGAAGCACTAAGGGAGTTTGCTATTTAAGATATTTCTTCACTATGCCAAATAATCAGCCCTTGATTGATTTTTAGTATGAATCTGAATTTTCCTGTACCTTTGTGATGTGCACGTTTAATGAGAAAAAATTCAGAATTCTTGGTTTATGAAATCAGAGATTCATGGAATTAAGATAGTTTGGAAGTCAGTATGTTTTTATGGTGCTGTGTGAGTTGATGTGGTGTCACCTCTGCAGCACAGTTGACTAGTGGTCATTCAGATATGAGGATGGTTTGACTAGAACAGTGGGAGTGTAGTGGCAAACTAGAAGGCAAGCATTATCTATAAATGGGATTTTATGAGAATTAAATGAATCAATGCATGTAAAATGTCTAATTAGCCATAAAAAAAAATCTAGAAGTCGAGAAAACTAAGTTAGGACAGGATCGTGCAGGAACTTGAGTGTTGTGCTCCACAGAACGGAGATTATAAAGTAAAGGTAAGATGTGAGCCAGCGTGTGGTTCAGAGACTTGATTCTAATGGTGGAGTGACTGGCAATAGGTATTTTATGGCATTTAAGGCATTCACCTTGGTGAAGTTTTGTGTGTGATGCTCCCAGGTTTAGGGCTCTCATGCTGCTATGATTTGCTCTATAAGATATTTTGATGAATTGCTCCTATCATTCTTTAGTTGTCCGTGTTATGTTGCCCAGGTCAGGGCCACATTTTTCGTAGCAATGACTTTTGGAGCCCTGGAGTGACTTAAAAGGCAGTGAAAAGAGGTCTGGCTACAGAATCTTAGAAGGTTTTATGGTAGCTGGACACGGGGAAGGGGGGCGGGATGGAGAATGAAAACAGCCTCTTCTTACCAGCAAGAGTGGTCCAAGTTTTATTTCCACATCAAACCACATGGTAGGGATGACTGGCTGAGGAGTGTCTGAGGAGAGGCTGGTGAAATCAGCTTGTCCTGGGACTTTGGGTTTGTGCCCCTAATTTGGAGGTCTTGCTGAGTAAGGCTCCAGCAAATTATTGCAAGGTCTATGCCATGCCAAGAGCTCTGATCAAATTGTCTTTACCTTTCCTTCAGGTTCACATTCTCCTGTCCTGTGTGAGCAGGTCATGTGATTACAAATACCTCTTAAGTCCCACATTCCAATAGAGGAAAGAGAAAAGTACACTGTCCTGAGATCAAGTGAATTGCAGGTTATCATTAGATAAGTGATGGTGATGTGTCCAGGGGTATTGCAGAAGAAATACCAGAATAGTTGGGGCTGCAGAGCACTAACGTGTAACTGTAAACAGCCCTCCAGTTCCATCGGATTGTTCCACTTTTTAGTCTTACCCAATAATTTTGAGTTTATTCCTTTCTCCCCTCTCAGTGGCCTACTTAACAGGGCTTCCCCTTCCCTCAGATGCTTGGAAGCCTTGTTGCTTCCCTTCCCAGCTTTGCTCTTAAATCCTTTAGGGACAGGTTCAGTGTTATTCTTCTTCCTTAAGTGGTGTAGGAGCTCTGTGTAGGTGACCAGTATGGCAGGTAGTTCATTTCAAACTGGAAGAGAAGTCCTCCAGGTCGGGCTTTATCTTTAGGATTTCAGATGCTCTGGGACTAACATCTAAGGCAAATCTGGTCTCTCATCAAGAGCAATGATATTCACTCCATAAATGGTGGAGTTTTTAGACAGCTAAACCTCAGGATATTGAACCATACTCTTCTAAAATATTCCAGTTTTATCCCTGGAGAGGTTTCCATCCCATAATATTAGAGAATTTGCAAATGAAATTGTTTATCTACTATTGATTACCATTGGATAAATCATAAAAAATGGGAGAGGTGCTGTAGTTCCAGAGGCAGGCAAATATAGGTCTAATTTCAAACACATTGTACACTGAGTTCTATCAATCCAAAGACAAAACAGATTTTGTTTGTACCATTTGTTTCTGACTTGAGATCGCTTGTTCTAACGAGTCCGCCAAATTTGGGGTTGCCTTCCTACTCCCAGCTTTACAGTTGTTTGATTGCTTTCATCACAATTTTAGGACCTCAGGACCATCAATACTTTACGCCTTTCGAATGAGCAACATCCAAACAATATTACCTGAACTGCCTGCAGCCCCA